GTGTGTGTGTGTGTGTGTGTGTGTGTGTGTGTGTGTGTGTGTATGATTCCTTGTCTTGCCCTAGGCACCATCACAACCCTGGAAATTCCTTCTCAAAAATTACCGATAGCCACTCTGCCAGAAGAGTCACCAAAGTCATACATGTTCCCTTTCTCTCTTTCCCCGCTCTTTAAAGTGTCACTCAGCTCCTTGAAGGAACAAAATGTACCAGTGTCATTTTCTGTTCAAATAACTCTCCTACAGGAATCATAAACTTCTCCCCTGGACCTGAACAAATATCTGTTGCCTTTAATGGAACTCTTTGCCTTGCCAGAACAGTAACCTCTCTTGATTTACTCTTCAGACTGTATGAAAAACCCGAGTGACCTAATTCTGCTTCAATTTTCTGTGCTTGTGAGGACACTAAATGAGTCTCCCGCAGTCAGGCAGGATTACATCTTGCTGCTGTTTTGGGAAGTTTACCATCCTGACTCTCTTTATCGGACTTCCTGCTGAATCCCATCGATGGGAAGATGAAATTGTCTGGAGAGGAGCATTATTTAAAATGAAGATTTCTATTAAGCACAAAAACAACAGGGATAGAGTTTTCTGTTAACACTTTCCCAGCCCTCCTTTCCCCATCCCATAACTTTGCCACCCACCCCATGTGCCACATCGCGTACATATCATTTCCCTGTAAAATCTCTTCCTTCTCTTTCCTTGAGTTTGCACTTTGTACTTTCTGTCCAAAAAAAAAAAAAAAAAAAAAAAAAAAAAAAAAAAAAAGAGGTTCTGTGTTGGGAACTCTTGGGATGGGCTAAGAAATCACTTCTGTTTGGAGAAGCAGTCATGACAGGGAGAAGTGAAGCCTTGGCTCCTTCCTGCTTCAGTGGCCCAGGTACCCAAAGCCCATGACCACCGGCCCCACTTCTGCCCTTCAATCTCTTCTCTCTCCTCCAACTTCCCACCCAGTTCAGTGTGGGTTAGTCCAAGCACTGTCAGCCCAGATGTCCTATAGTCATGTTTTTTTTATCATCCTAGAACCTGTCCTTTGGAAGGTGGAATCAGAAGCTACCATTCCTAGAGTTTAGTACTTGACTCTCTGTGTCATACTGAACCAAAATACACAGGGGGAGTTTAGGTTCTAGGATATCCAAATAAGACAAAGACACATGATGTCTAGAACCAAGGATGTAATATGATGAAATTGTGGGAGACACCATCTACCAGCACTGTAATAGCTAAGCCCCTTTAGTGTGGTCTTGATAATAAGATTACAAAGCAAACTGGGTTTAAAGGTAAAATCTTCTTTCAGTTTTACTTGTTTTTCTTTGAGTGCACACACACACACACACACACACACACACACGTGTGTGTGTGTGTGTGTGTGTGTGTGTGTGTGTTTTCTCTTCATGTATGTAAGTCTTCTTTTGCCTATTTGGACATTTGGAGCTCCATAGATGGATGGAGGAAAACCAATTGGATAATAATTCATGTAAAGTAGGTTTTGATTTTTGATTCCTCCATTTCTAGCTCTGTGGTGGGTGTTGTCTTAGTTAGGTTATCTATTGCTATGAGCAACAGGCAAGTTGAGGAGGAAAGAGTTTATTTGGCTTACACTCCAGTCTTTCTGTTCATCACTGAAGGAAGTAAGTACAAGAACTCAGACAGGGCAGGATCCTGGAGACAGGAACTAAGGAAGAGGCCACGGAGGGGTGTTGCTTAATGGCTTGCTTCCCCTGGCCTGCTCAGCTTACCTTCTTATAGAACCCAGGACCACTTGCCTAGGGGTGCTACTCCCCATCATGAGCTGGGGCCCCCTATTGATCACGAAATGAGAAAATGCCTTACAGCTGGATCTCATTGAGGCATTTCCTCAGCTGAGGCTCCTTCCTCTCTGGTGACTCTAGCTTGTGTTTAGTTGACACACAAGGCCAGCCAGTACAGCTGTCAACATGTTTCTTCAGTTTTCTCATTAGTAAAATGGGGCCTTCTAGCATGAATTTACGTGTGCCCCCCCCCCTGTGTATTTGGAATCTTTAGATGCACTTAGTGAAGTGAGTATTTCCTGGGTTAACTCATTACTAACTTTTCTTATAATTTGTTTCGTTTCAATTCTATTCTCAAACACTTTTGTCCCAAAGCTGGGGGCAGGAGTTTATTCTAAAACTAGATTTCAGTGATATGTATTTATAAAAGTAAGCCTTGAAACCAGCTTATATGAGTCGGAGCCATAGCAGCCGGGGACTAGAGGAAGATGTCTTTTATTTTCTAGTCTGCCTTATTAAGAGGAAGTACTTACAATTATATTTTTGATCGTGTCTAAAATGAGAACCCCAGCATCCTTTTCAGGAAACGTTCTTCACTGCTGCCCCCAATTTTTGCAGATGCCCAGTTTGCTGTCTTTTCTCAAATAAGCACTGCACACAGGAAGTGGATGTGGTTGGCAGGGCTCTCTCGGAATGTCTCTAGCTGGCTTGCTTCTGCGGTCTCGGCTCCTAAAGCAGCACTTGCCACCCTGCTTTGGCTACTATCGTCACTGTCACCTCAGAACAGAAGGAAGAACTGTGGCTGAAGCTTTGCATGCCATGGCAGGCTGGGAGTTGGGCAGCTAGCCAGACTGCCTCTGTGTTCTCTCTCTGTTGAGAGTAAGCAAGGATTCCTAATCACCTCCTGTCCCCTCAGTGTAGCGTGAAGTTCCTTTCCAGGCCTCAGAGAGAGGCTACACAGAAGTTCAAAGTGTCGAGAATATGAAGTGTCTGTCTTCAGGAATTCAAAAGTAGCTTCTTTTGTGGTTAACATTAGAAAATCCTGTTGGGGCCCCAGTAAGATGGCTGAGCAGATAAAGACATCTATTGCCTTGACTCCCAGAATGTACATGAGAAGTGACATTCACAAGCTGTCCTCTTATGTCTGTCTATACATGCACAGTGGCACGTGTGTCCCCTGCCAGGCTGCGGCCCCCCCCCCCCGTGCGCACCCCTGGAAGTAAATAAATGTAAACTTTTTTTTCTTTTAAAAAAGAAAACCTAGTTGGATGTCAGAAATTGACTGTCATCGTGTGGAATTTGTGAACCTAAACCTAAAGCTGTTGTCCATCATTGAAGACTCAAATCATGATGTAGATCTCTGCCCGCTCCCATCCCCCTCTTTCTTATTTCCTTCTAGACTGCAGGCTCGCATAGCTCATAGGATACAAGAACTGGAAAGTCTGCCTGGCTCTTTGCCACCAGATTTACGAACCAAAGCAACTGTGGAACTGAAAGCACTTCGGTTACTCAATTTCCAGCGTCAGGTAATACCTTTTCCCCAGTGAGTCCGTGATATAGGAAATCAATGTAATTGTTCCTAAAGTGTGATCTGCGAGCTTCCTCGAGTCTGCTCAATATTGTTAGGAAGCTAGGAACTTAGTAAAATAGCGTGTCTTTAGATTGACAGCTCGTAGCCGAAAGTAATGAGTATGAACTACTTATTATTCTTTCCCCCCCTTCTGTATGTCAGAAACATTTTTCCTTCTGTACTATAGTGTACAAAATCAGTTATTGCATTTTGGTACTTCGGATGAAAACCATGACAACAGATTATGGAGAGCTGTGACTTGCCTTCATGGCTCCAAGGAAAACCAAGGAGGCGGTAAATAGATAGTGTTCCTCCTGGTAAACCCAAATGTGCAAAGCAAGCCATGACCCCAGAAACAGAAGATACAATAGTCTCTTTCCTAATCACCAGCCCATGTTTGTAGAAACACACACACAAAAAAAAACAGTGTCATGTACCTTACTTAATTATTCATCAAAACCTAACTTGGGGGCACTTGGTCGCATCAGACTCATTCACACGTTGACTAATTAGTGAGATACTGTCTCCTAGAACTCACTATTGAGATCTGGTATAATGATCTATTTTCTGATTTCTAAATTGGTAGGCATGTAGTGGAATGAAGAAGAACTAATTTTCCCTTGGCCGAGTTTTGTCAAAGTGGACTGGTCCCCATCCCCAGATTGCCTGTCTAAACCAAAGGGGACAAGGAGCACCTTCTGTCAGTCAGATGGTTGTGCTAATGTGTGCGGCATGCAGAATGAATTGTTAATGAGTGAGCATAGTCTGGATGTGTTGAATTTGGTCCATTGAAAAGTCTGACTGAAATCACAAGGCCGCCATCTATGAACTTGAAGACGCATTTTACTTACTGAGTGGCATGTGATGGAGGGACATCTGGTATCTAGATGCTGCTTGTTTAGAGGTTTCCAGAGAGCAGATTTCAGGTTAAATTTAAAGCAAGAAGAAATAGAATGGTTCCATTACATCTTAATTAGAGGAAACTTCATCATAGGAATGAACAAAGTGTTTGACACAGACTTGTCAGATGCATATTAGAGGCGTGTGTTGTCTGGTATGAGATGTGATTCCCTGTCCTGGAGCCCTGCTGCTCCCGAGTTTTTGTTTGATGTTACTGAAAAATCTGTTTTCTATGAAGTTTCCTGGGTAGATGGGACCGATGCCAATTTCAGGTTCAACTGAATCATTACTGTAATGTAGACCTCCAAGTTCCCACCTACTGCCATATGATATGTAATGCGATTATATTGTTTATGACAAGAATCTAAAACTAGTCCATGTCATAATATAAGATTTAATACTAAAGAACCTCATTGTCGGAGAAGGAGGAAACCCAGACTGTTAAGTCCCATCATTTATTTAAAGTTATGAATTTATATCACTGGAGTTACTGCTTGCTGTTACTTGGAAAATGAATAGACAGTAACCCTCTTGTTCTTGTAGATCAGCAGGAGAATGATACTATGACATTTAAAAAAGTTTAAAAGGCTTATCAACTAAGTAACATATAATTAAGTGAAATGAATAGCTTTATTTCAAACCCAGAACAGCATCCTCATCTTTTTTTTTTTTTAGTGTTATAGTACTAAAATTGTTTTTGATGTGAATTATGAGTAAAGAATATTTCTAATGTCTTTAAAATTACCATGGAAATTTGCCACAATTGCAGCCCTTGTTTTTAGTGATAGCCCACTGCAATTGGATTGACAAAAGTGCACCGAGTCACCTTTCTGTTCCATTGAGTTGAGGTCGGGGCCCAGGACCTGGCTTCTGTTGGGGGGGGGGTTCTCTAACTGCCCTTCTCCTGCTAGCTGAGACAGGAGGTGGTGGCCTGCATGCGGAGGGATACCACCCTGGAGACGGCCCTCAACTCCAAAGCATACAAGCGGAGCAAGCGCCAGACCCTTCGAGAGGCGCGCATGACGGAGAAACTGGAGAAGCAGCAGAAGATAGAACAGGAGAGGAAACGGAGGCAGAAGCACCAGGTCCTTAAGCCTTTGCATACCCTTCCTGGTCAGAGGTGTCCCATGGGGTCAGTGGTCGGGGTCAGGATGTTTGCCAAGTTGGGATGGGAGATGTGGGGGGTCATTGAACAGAAACGTAATGTGGAATTTCTATAATACAGAGCCATCATTTTAGAGATGGGAGAATGCCCTGCTTTGCTTGAGGAAAGGGTTTATTTGACTTGCAGGTTACAGTCCCTCACTAAGGGAAGCCAAGGTAGGAACTGAAGGCCGGAACTGAAGCAGAGACCACGGAGAACACTGCTTACTGGCCCTCTCCCTCCCTGCATATATGGTTGTGTGCCTTATGGCCTGATACCCACAGAGGCCAGAAGGCAGCTCTGGATTCCCTTGAAACTGGAGTTACGGATGGTTTTGAGCAACAGCGTGGGTCCCAGGAATCGAACCTGTACCTTCTATACGATGAACAAGTGCCCTTTATTGCTGAGCTATCTCTCCAACACGTAGCAGGAAGTTATTTTTCTATAGTATTCTGGCTTCTTTGAAGGACCCAGTTAGAGGATTCACAGGGGCAGATCTTCAAAAGCATTCCTTTCTAGGGGGTTGGAAATACTGATGTAGGGTTTGATTTTTGTCCCCTGATTGTGTTATTGTGCCTAATCTAGTGCCTAACTTAGTTTCTTTGCAAAAAAAAAAGGGGGGGGAGAGAAGGAAGAAAGGAAGAGAAAGAGGGGGTGGGGAGGAAGGGGGGATTGGGGTTGGTATGTAAAATGATAAATTTTTTTAAATACTAAAAAAAAGAGTTTCCGTGGTCATGGTGTCTCTTCACAGCAATAGAAACCCTAACTAAGACAGTGCTCAAAGGGAGAAAGGAAATAAAACAGTGTATGGAATTACACGGAAAGTCTGGAGCCCAGGAGCCAGCCAGATGGTTCAGTGAGTAAGATCGCTTGCTGCTGAGACTGACAGCCTGAATTTGGTACTGGGAACCTACATAGTAGAGAGCCAGTTCTTCCAAGTAGTCCTCTGACCGCTACATGCGTGACATGGCACCCATATGTGGAAGGCAAACAGGTTCTTGTGCTCACAGATAAGCACCATGGGAACCAGCAATGTTAAACACACAAGGTTGTCTCTTTATAGGGAGAGATGGATAGCTTTTTTTTTTTTCCACCCAGAAAGCTGGGAGTGGATGTGGGGTCCTCCTTGTTTCCTAGCTTCTCTGGTGGTATGGATTGTAGGCTGGTAATCCTTTGCTCTATGTCTAAAATCCATATATGAGTGAGTACATACCATGTTTGTCTTTTTGTGACTGGGTTACCTCGCTCAGGGTGGTTTCTTTCAATTCCATCCATTTGCTTGAGAATTTCAAGATTCCATTGTTTTGTTTTTCTGCCTGAGTAGTACTCCATTGTGTAAATGTACCACATTTTCTCTATCCATTCTTCAGTTGAGGGGCATCTAGGTTGCTTCCAGGTTCTGGCTATTACAAACAATGCTGCTATGAACATAGTTGAACATATGTCCTTGTTGTATGAATGTACATCCTTTGGGTATATGCCCAAAAGAGGAATTGCTGGATCTTGAGGTAGGCTGATTCCCATTTTCCTGAGAAACTGCCATACTGATTTCCAAAGTGGCCACCCACACACACACACACACACACACACACACACACACACACACACACACACAGATAGGTGCCTGCACTTCTGGAGGGTAGAGTACATCTTTTCTACACAGTGCATCTAATAATCCAGGGTTTCACTTGAGGAGCCATAGTAGTTTTGTGCCCTAGGGTACCATCATCATCCACCTACATAGCTTCTCAGAGAAAAGCAAGTACTGTGTTGTGCAGGAGTTTGGCAGTCACATCAGGAGGAATGGCAAATTCGGCCCTTTAAACGTATGATATTTTTGAGATGAGCAATTAAGATTTCTTTGGAATGAACAGCTTACAAGGGTATTATCTTTGAATCCAAGGTTCATATTCATTCTCTCCCATCCCCCTGCTTGGCATTTATAACCTTACTTATTATATAAATTTACTAAGTCATTCTCAAACTGACTTTTAAGTTCATTTCAAAGGTTTTTTGTGGCACCCCTTTTGTCCCCAAAGTTGGTTTGCATCTTTCCTTCTGCAGTTATGTTTGAATTGATTTACAGACAGCTTTAGATCATTGGCCTGAGGGTTGGGTGTTACTGACCATTTGTGTCCGCACTTGGACAAATCACACCATGAAACTTAGAAGTGTAACAAAACTGTGCAGGTGATAAGAGACCAGAGCTGTGTGTGGGACAGAATTCCTGAGTGGGTCAGAATAAGCCTCACCTCATGCATTCAGTTCCACGAGTTCTTAAGACACTGTCTTCCTTGCTGGGGTCCCAGTTGGTGTTTTGTTTTTATTAATCTAGGGGTGGGGCTCCTGACAATAAGCACCATTTGAGACATTCTAAAATCTCACCACCTTCCCCCATTTCTGGGATGGAGAATGCTGTCAGAAGTCTTTGCTCTAGGTAGGGAGACTATTGTATAGTAAGCAGACCAATCAACAGGCAAATTTGTCTGATTCAACTGAAGGAAAACTGTATCAGAACTCCAGCAACAGATTGGTTTGACACTAGTGATTAAGCATTTGCAAATCATTAATTTTTGCAATTAAATGATGGGATATACAGATAATAGAGAAACTGAAGGTTTTTTTTTATCACTCTTTCTTCAAGTGAGATCAACCATAGCCAAAAGCAATTAGAGTTATAATAGCATTGGAGTTCATGCTCATTCACAGGACAGACAGCAGCTAGACTGAGTGATGAAGCTGCTGTCTCTTCTGCACGTGCTGGAGTGATACCCTACAGCTGAGTCCCTGAGCTCTATTGGGATAGAGCCACCTCTTAGAGATTGTACGGTGTTCTCCTTTTATTCAGGTGCCATAGAAAAAATATTTTAGAATGTTCTTTCAGCTGGGACATCTAAAAGAGGTTTCTCTCTAAATGGCTCAGAGGACATCAAGAGTTTTCTTCCACTTGATCTCATCGTGTTACCTAATGGGAGGTGGAGGTGGAAATTATGGGGTTTGTTTTGTTACTCAGTAGAACCTAATGGAGCTAAATGGCTTGTCTCTAGTCACCTAGGCTTGTAATGCACCAGATTTTGCATTAATTTTGAGCAGTTCAAGAAGCACAGAAGAACGTGAAAGAGCTGACTTACAGTGCTTGATCATACCCCACACGCAGTGGGGCTTTATGTGATAATTATGCTACTGACTTTAGAGTCATGGGCCCAAGGTGTTGCAGGGCTCTAAATTTACCAACTTGCAGATTCCACTGGTAGCTTTTGCAGCCTAGCTCATCCTGTTGGCCCCAGGCACCACCAGATTCTGGTTGTGCACAGTAGAGAGGAGTGTGAAGTGGACCTGTGAGTGTCCAGGAGGTCATGCTGTCATCCTTCTCTCCTTCCTGAACAGGCTGAAGATGAGGAGGGCTACAGGAAACTCATTGACCAAAAGAAAGACAGACGCTTAGCATACCTTTTGCAGCAGACCGATGAGTATGTGGCCAATCTGACCAACCTGGTTTGGGAGCACAAGCAGGCCCAAGCTGCCAAAGAGAAGAAGAAGAGGAGGAGGAGGAGAAAGGTGAGCTCTTCTTTCAGACAGGTTTAGTCTGTGATATATGTCTAAGGCTGGTTTTAGGTGAGTATTGCTCTCTAATAAGAGTCACTTCTGCCTTATGGGAGGTTTAGATTACTGACCTGCAGTCAGTTGCATAAATTAGTATGGTGTAAAAGTAGATGATCTATTAGAGACAAGAGTATTAAAAAGATGGATTGCAGTGGAGTAGTTCATAGTCTGTATTCCTTCTGTTTCATACCGTGTAACATTTCAAATCAAGTATACACAGTCATTAGGAGAAAGAAAGAATCTAGACACAAATGAGCATTGTATAGTTTTAATGCCAGTGTGGCAAGGACTTCTAAGTT